GGGGGGCAGGGGGGCACTTTACATGGACTTTTATGTAGAATATTCTTTGTCACCGACACATGATCTGATATTGCCGTACTGGGATTATTCTCTTGTACAAACTGGCGCCTTTAATAGTCTAGACATCCCACTGTGCACTTAGGGTCATATGCAGTCCTGCAAAACAATAACAGCCTAAATCTTCATAAGTAATTCATAAGTGACTATCAGCTATTACAATATACAATTACAATTAGTTACTTTTTTTAACCAAACACTAAAAAAAAAGCAAATGGATCAGATTTACTAAAAGTGACCTTTGATCTTATGAGGCTGCAGGTATTTAAACTACACAAAAATATGTGGAAGTTTGTTCTTTAGGCTACCTGCACCGAATAATCTCCTTTGAACTTGTTACAGCCTCCAACAGGTCTGCACACCTCCAGCAACTCATGGCCATAAACTGTAGTTTCTGTGCTCTGGTGTCTAGGACTGTTGTTGGTGGTGAAACATGGAACAAATCTGATCAGACTAAAAAAAAGCCAACTTAATCAATCTATTTTTTCCTCATAAAATACTGGGTTTCCTCATATTTGGCATGAGAGTATGAGAATGAAGGATGAAAGAAAGTTGGCAAAGCTTTAAACTGTGAGAGCTTTGACTCATACTATATTTATACTATAGTATATTTAAATGTAAAGAAGGTAACGAGAAGTAAATATTATGATTCAAAGTTACAGAAAAATATAGTACACATGAAACACTGTTGATATATCGCATTGTCCGATAACATTAACAATAAAAGAAAGTAGAGTGATCAGCTCTGCTGCATCAGTTGCATGCAAGCTGAATTAACTGAATTTATATTTGTTGAATAGCACTGAATACAGACCTGAGGCAGATGGAAATGTCATGCTTCTCAGGTGTTTAGTAATAACCAAACAAATTAAAATGTCAGAGAATCAGTACTGAAGTGGAAATATCAGTCTGGACTAAACTGGGGGATGACTGACTGAACTTCTTGGATTTAGCCATTAAATTAATTAAACATTTTAAGTATTCGATGTTGACAAATGATCAGATTTGTATATATGTATATATATATATAGAGAGAGAGAGAGAGAAAGAGAAAAGTCATGGATGATGGAGTATTGTCCATTACCTCTGCTAAGAGAAGAGAAATAATATCCTTACATAACATTTTTATTTGCTACAGAGACACTAACACCTAAAAATACGTTTGCATGCTTCAAAAAGTACAATTTGGAGGAAATGCATTATAATCACTGCCCTAAATGTGCTTAAATCCAACTTTTAAATCAAATTGTTATGCCAATGAGTTCACAAACAGTATTGTGCATTAGTACTGAGAGAGTTGCTGTACAAATATTTCCTTCTTATGATGATAAAAAAGGTAATTTCTTGCTAATTTGCCAGTGCAAATGTATGAATTTCTCATTCCATAGTCATTTTTAAGTGACAGGTTTGTTCAAGCATATATAGTTGGCCTTTAGCTCTGTACATTGTTAGCGAGATTATTTATATGCATGTATTACAGATATGCGCAAATGCTCTAATCTTTGACATTTAAAATCAGCGTGACAAAATGAGATATGTTTGATCTCTACATCCTGACAGGCCCAGTTATTTCTGCATGAGAGGGAAGTTGTAAATGAACTTCTTTTGTAGCCTAATCGAATGGCACTAGGTGAAAACTCCGCTCAAACTTTCTTCTGTAATTACACACATAAAACCCACACTCACAGATTGGTCATCACAAACTGATGTCAGTCATTGGTCATCATAGTTCAAGTCTGATGTATAAGTGAAAAAAGAGGAGCAAAGTAAAGAAGACAAAGGGAGTAGGTTGCTGTAATTGTTTTGCACATTTTGGTAATCCTTTATTGTGCAGCAATGCAAAATACTCACGTGTGTACTTTTACTTTTAATGTGCTAAAAGCAGTTCATTAGGAAAATATGTTCAAGTGTTTTGGAGTTTTCCCAATTTGGTCAACCTGTGGTGTGGAAATATACATTTAGGGTTGGCTTGGAAGATGCCAGACTAATAACTTGTGCAGGAAAATGTTCTTGAAAATCAGAGAAGACGGATATGAATAGATTTCAGAATAAATTGATCACTTAAAGCCGTTTTAGCAGCAGTTTCGCACATCATCACATTCATTTTCACACGTGAACAGAAAAAAAAGGTAATTCAGTTACAAGTATATGCCATGAGAGTTTTGTCTGGGAGGCTTCAGATGGACAGATGGGGACCGAAAGTTTGGTCCAGTTTAATGGCAACACCAGAGAAGGATCAAACATTGGAAGAAGAAGGAGAAGGGGCAGAAGTCAAGCAGAGAGAATTAGTCCAGATGAATACTCATTAGTTTGTAAAATAAGTTGAGGGAAAAACCAATTAGTTGTTTTTAAATCTGGGATATGTAATGAAATGCTATTAACGGCACAAATTATAAAGTATAATCAGAAACCTTTCATCAAAGTATTTGACATAGCGCAAAGAGAAACCAAAGTGACCTGGCCAGAAGGACAGATGAAATGCCATAATATCATCAGCACAGTGCTGTCAGTTTTTAAAAGTAATGAAAAAAATAATCTGCTACGGTAGATTCCTATGAATGCTGTTTACTTTTTTTTTTTTTTGCCTGTCCCGTTTGGCTCTTTTGCCATCAGAATTGTTGTCTAAAGGCGAAGAAAGATGCCCAATGGATTTACTTTACCAAATTGACCATCCCAGCCTTGCCGTAATGGTCCATTTGATTCACCTTTTATTGTTTATTTTATTTTCACTTGCTGAATATGGGACAGACTTGACTGGGGGAAAGAAGGGGAGAAAGAAATGAATGCTGTTTACTTTGATGATGGTCTTTTTATGGTTTCTGCAGTGATTCACCTGCAGTACTCTGTCTTTTTTTAAACAAAATCTATAAGTCTCCATACAATCTTGAAGGTGTACCCAGAGATGCTGAGCACTTGTTGGCCCTTTTGGCTTCACTCTGAGGTCCATCTCATCCCAAACCATTTCCATTGGGTTTTGGTCAGGTGACTGTGGAGGCACTCCATCACTCTCCTTCTTGGCCAAATTGTCCTTACACAGCCTGGAGATGTGTTTGGGGTCATTGTCCTTTTGAAAAATAAATGATGGTAAACGCAAACCAGATGGGATGGCATGTCACCACAGGATGCTGTGGTAGCTATGCTGGTTCAGTGTGCCTTCAATTGGGAAAAATTCCCCAACAGTGTCACAAGCAAAGCACCCCGACAACATCACACCTCATTCTTCATTGTGGCAACCATGCATGTAGAGAACATCCATTCACCTTTTCTGCGTCGCACAAAGTCACTGCAGGTGGAACCAGAGATTTCAAATTTGGACTTGTCAGACTAAAGCACAGATTTCCACCGGTTTAATGTCCAGTCCTTGTGTTTCTTGGCCCAAACAAATCTCTTCTGCTTGTTGCTTTTCCTTAGTAGTTTGACCATAAAGGCCTGATTCACACAGTCTCCTCAGAACAGTTGGTGTAGAGATGTGTCTGCTACTGGAACCCTGTGTGACATTTCTCTATTCTCTAATCTGAGGTGCTGTTAACTTCTGAGGCTAGTGACTCAAATATATTCATCCTCAGCAGCAAAGGTGACTGTTGGTCTTCCTTTCCTGGGGCGGTCCTCATGTGAGACAGTTTCATCGTAGCCCCAGATGGTTTTTGTGACTGCACTTGAGGACACATTCAAAGTTTTAGCAATTTTCCGGATTGACTGACTGTCAGTTCTTACAGTATTGATGGACTGTCGTTTCTCTTCACTCAGCTGATTGGTTCTTGCCATAATTTGATTTCTAACAGCTGTCCAATAGGGTTGTCAGCTGTGTACTAAC